CTGCGACCAAAAGCGGCAAACAATCGCATAGATGCCCCCCCCCTCCCCCACCCCTTGCGCATCTCCACCCCACAGTCCATATGCCTCCCGCCTGGCATTATCGCGGTCACTTTTCCCGTCTGCGGCTCTGAGCTCAAACGCTTCTGTTCTTCGCAGCAGCAACTACTCACAGAGTACTCGGCTTCCCTCTCGTTGGCCACTCCCGAATGCTCCTCTGTCAATGCTTCCAAATGATCAATGAGCGCATTCAGCGTGCGATCCGAGGCTGCATGGTACTCTTCCGGCGATTGTTTGCTGTGAACGCGCGGCGAGAGAGCAGAGGATGGGGGGGGGGCACCGGTCAGCAATTGGCAGCGAGCTTATAGGCGTGCGAAGCCTCTGCCTTTTGCAAGTCACACGGAGTTCGCTCAGAGCTGCAAAGGCGTCCTCTGCGCCCCCCCCCCTCTTCCCCCCCCGTGCTCTGCTAGGAGGAAGCAACGACGTACACACCTGGCAACGTAGGCTCTTTGTGACGACTCGTCATTTCCAGCAAGCAGCCTAGCAGCTGAAGGTCTCAAAGGCGCAAAAGCATGACTTGCTCGAGCTGCGGTGATGGTGTTGCAGCGAGCGATTCTAGCAGGCTCGAGATGGAGATTCGGGCAGCCCTGGTGGGACAGAATGGGCTCCTTCGACGTGCCCGCTCGAGCTGCAAGCTGTACTCGTCCAAGTCGCCTTGCGCCGCTGAGCATGTGGACGGAGCGATAGGAGCACCCAGCTGGCGTCAACGCTGCTGCTGCAGGCCAGCTTCGCACCATGCTGGACAATGAAAGGCGACCGTCGTGAAGACTTGCTAGGGCAAGTGTGTGTGTGTGTGGGGGGCGTTGGCTGTGATGTGATGGCAAGGGAGGATGGGTTGAGTAGCATCGCGGGCAACGTCGGTCGCTCGAGCCACCGCAATTTGGACTATGTGCAGTTGTGCACGCGCACGCGCACGCGACTCCGCTTCGTGATGCGTGATTTCACGTGTTCACGGTCAAAGACTTCTCAAAGCGCCCCGCCAGCAAGTCCTGCAGAGCGCCGAGAGAGCCAACGCACTGTGCACGTGTGTCTCGACAAACACCAAAAGCGAGCCTATCAAAAAAAAAAAAAAACATATTTGTTGCCGAAGCAACGCCTTTTCTGATCAAATATCCGTCCTTGTGCAGGGGCAAATGCTAATCTTCTCTGTATCGTTCCAAGTTTATCGTATGCTACCCCATAGGGGTGCTTGCGCTCACCGGGACTCGAACCCGGGGCGGCCGCTACAGGTCACATGAACGCGCACTCCCGCCGCGAAAACGTGGGAAGCGACCATGTTACCCTTACACCATAAGCGCTCGACATGACCAAGGGGTGACCATGCTCAGGGCTATATATACACATTCCGCGGCCGATTGCTTCAGTTGACGTTCTGCGTCTCGACTTCGACAGCCGCGTGGCTCACTCGCCCGCAAAGCACAATCAAGTGGAATGGAATTGACAGAGCGCAACTCTACTCAAGAAGCGACTCATCGATTCAGAGCACTGCGACAGCGGGCGATGCAGCAGAGAGGTACGAAATCTTTACCATCGCACCACCAGACTGAAAGCGGTTCATTTCTATACACTCGAGAACCTGCATTGGTGACTTTCCGACAAACACGGGGCAAGACCAAGGCGCGCCCGCCGCCGAGTCCAAACATCCCCAACTTCAGGAGGGCGAGGGTTAAAGACTGCCTCCACGTCCTGTGCACCGTCTCATTGCAAAAGTGCCTCTCTGACGCGCTGCTGATTGGTTCGCAGTCTATTCAGCATGCGTAGCGCAGGTATGTCAGTCTCGACTCTCTCTTCGACGCACCACGGAAGTGCACCACTCACCTCTCATTCTCGACTTCCAGCTCTCTGATCATCGTCACTTGCTGCTGCACCTGGGCACGCAGCTTTTCATTCTCTTCCACCAGCTGAGTCCCAAGAGGGTAGATTTCAGTCCCAATATCGATGCGAATCAGCGGCAAACCGACTCACCTCTGCAGTACGGTCTCCACCCTGCGCAGCACCCGCTCCGTTCTCCCTGCTCCGGAATCTGCTTTTGCCAAGATCCGCCGAAGGTGACAGTGGGCTTGCCTCCGTCTTGATTGGAGTCGCTGGCGAAGGAGTTGCTACAGGCGCTAGGGCAGGTGCTTGGGCAGCGGCAGGCGTAGGAGGAGCGACGGGTCCAGACGCAGCTGAGGTAGGCGCTGCAGGAGATATGGGTATGCTAGCCGGAGCAGGCGCGACAATCGCGTCGCCTCTTACGCCGCTTCCATCCTCGAGGCTGATCAGGTTGGGATTCGCAGTCTTGCCTGCAAAGAATTCCTGTGAGGAGAGTGCCGGCACAGATGATGGCGCTGCGTGGTGGTGTACACTCGGTCAGCCGCAAGCGATACAGGTTGCGAGAGAAGCGCCTGCCCCTCACCTGGAGGGAAAATGTCGCTTTGGAAAGTTTCGGCCCTCCGTGGCACGACAAAGGAGATTGGTTGCACTGCATTGCCTGTGACTTTGTACGCCCTTGCAATTTCATTCTCATCCACGTTCAAAGACCTTCTCGGGATGAAGCTCATGCCTCTTTGAGGGTCTGTCGATTTGTACTCCGTCAGATAGTGCAGCTCATCATTCTCCAACTCATAGTCTGGAAAAGGTTCGGACGTTTTCAGCACGGCTTGTCCGCTTCCAGAAGCACAATCCACTCACATCGAATGTTTCCGTCTCCCTTGCCAGCCAAGAAGCAAATGTTGTTGTCCGACCAGAATGGCATGATGACACCGTTGCTGCTGTCCAACAGGACCGTTTCTGCGGGCGCGCGTAATCGTGCTCAGCTGACATATTGGAACTGGGTCGATGCGGCAAGGACTCACTCAGAGGCTTTGTGACATTTCCAGAGTCCCACAAGAACAGTTGACGATCGGACATTTTGCTGAAGCCTGTGACGAACAGCGAGCAGGACCATTAGCGAAGGGCATGCTGGCGACCTGCTGGGCGAGTCTCGCGAGCGATGGCGCGTTTGCACGCGAGCTTGGCTTCGTGCGTCGCGGGCTAGACGCCTAACTATCCTTCGGACAAGCAGTCATCCCGTCATACCCAAAGCAGTCACGTCCATTGGACTGCAGGCTCAACGAGGCTTTCAATTCCAACTCACCGGTAGTGATGAACCTATCGAGCGCTCCGCACCAGACCACCCTTGCGCCCTTGATGCCGCCATGACTCTCTGCTTCCTGAATGGCTTGGCTGCCCACTCGCGGGTCAAAAGTTCGGATCTTGCGATCCCTGCAGGTGGCAACGAGTGTGTTGCCTGACCAATTAAAGTCGAGTGATTGTATGCTGTCAGTGAAGCCGGTCAGCTCGATCTTGCTGGCCTGAGTCGATGAAGCGAGGTCAAAGAGCTTGATGCTGTCGTTTGTAGCTGCTGCGAGGACGTTGGAAGCCGTAGGGTGGAATAGCACTTGTCCGACTTTTCTGCGGAGGCGATGCGCAAGGTGGGCGTCAGAGAAGGAGCCAACTCGAAAACCCCAAGGGGGGGGGCCTTGTACGACTCGAAGCGACTACCGCCCGCGCACACATTCTGCTCAACATCACTAACCTGCCACCCGCCTGAATCTTTGAGACTGGCGAAATGTCCTTGACGCCGCCTGCCTTGTCCCTCTCCTTTTCGCTGAGATCCAGCACGCTCCACACGTCCTCTTTGGCCACGTTCCATATGCCGACGGTACCATCATCGCTGGCGCTTGCCAAGACGTCATCATCGAAGGGGCTGAATGCGGTGTCGAGGACAGTGGCAGTGTGACCTCTGGCAAGAGGGTAGATGTCTGGCAACTTCCCTCTTCTGGATGTCGGGACGAGAGCGAATGCGCCTCCGCCGGATGCGTTCCAATTGACGCTGATGTACTTGCCGTTGCTCGCAATCAGGTTTGTATCCCACGCATTGTTGGAGACCTGCGGCGTAGCGAGAGGGATGATATCAGCTGCATTGTGACGCGATGATGGCACTCGAAAGACTCGCTGGCTGGCTGGCTCACCTTGATGTTGTCGTACCATTCCTCCTTTTTGGCAGCGTTGCCGTACACGTGCCGGTACTTGGAAGGGCGAACAAATCGCGACATGGCGTGGGCCGGTACGGGAGCCGATTCGAGTCGAAGAGGAAGCGAAGGGTGACAAAAGTGGAGAAAGGTGAGGTGAGCTTAGAAGGATAGAGATGGAGGATGGGAAAAGGAGGATTTCTGAGCCGCTACTCACGACTCGTGACTGCTGGTGCTCGTCTTGACTCTCAACGCTTCTGCCCTGATGCCTGCTGCTGCTGCTGCTTGCTTGTTTGCTCGGCTTTGCGACCGATCACGACCGCGCACGCCCCATGCAGCTGAAGCAGCTAGGTTGCCCGCACGGCACGGCGCGGCGCGGCGGGGCGCGGCAGCTGCTGCTGGCCAGCGAGCGATCTCAAGTCACGTGAGTGTTTGCCAGCGGCGGCTGCATCTGGCCATTTCCCCTCAAGCCTTTGGTTGTGTTACACCGCACAACAGACGCATGGATGAGCAGGTCACTCACGGTCGTCACCAGTCGCCGATCACCAGTCACCAGTTGCCAGTCGCCAGTCGCCAGTCACCATCCGCCAAGGGACCTTCAGGATCATCACGCCCGCAAGCGCAGGGGCTAGTCACTCGCACTCATGGCTCACAAAGCATCATCAGGAGCGCTCGCCCGAGGCGTTACGATCCGTTCAACACGGCGAATCGAGCAGCAGGCACCTCCATGATGATGACACCACGCGCATACAGGCTGTTGCTGCTTCGCTCTCGTCAGCAGCTTCTAAGCAAGAGCGCTCCGGAACGCGCGCCTCGGGGCTCATCATGCGCAAGGGCTGCCATTGGCTGCTCTGTGGCACGCACGGATGCCTGTCCGTCCCAGTCCTTCTCCTCGGCAGCAACAGCAGCAAGCCGCGCGAGGCGAACGAGGGGCAAGACCGAGGACAGAGAGCGGGACGACGTAGGCGGGAAAGGAAGCTCGCATGCCATGCACGTGAGACCTGCTGGAGCAAGCGAGCTGGAGAGCAATGAAGAGGTGGAAGCACGGGACGTGGATGCGGTGGATGCGGAGCGCAAAATCATTTCGTCGCGCTTCAAACAATTGAAACGTTGGTGGAACAAGGCGTACCTGATGCAGGGCGAGCGCGAGTGCAGAAAGATCAAGGGAAGCAGGTTTAATGGCAAATCGGATCACTCCCTCTATCTCACCCACGACTCAAAGTTTAGGCGCGTCTGCATCCTCGCCATCGACATCGAGACTCGTACTGGCGCACCCGAACATCCGCAGCCGAGCGTGGGTGGAGAGGCGGGTACCTCGATGAGGGACCTTCTGAGAAAAGGTTTGGAGATCGACCCATCGGCGAGCGGGTCGCCCAGCATCCAAAAGGATAGCTCTGATGTGGTCCAAACTGGCTGGACCGTCATGTCAGCTAGCGACGCCCCACAGTCTGACATCGACAATCTGACAGCAAGGCAGAAGATCTACCTCACACTCGAGAAGCAAGAGTACCGCTCGTGGCATTATGTCGTGAGCAATCACTGGTCTTTTGCGACTGGCACACCCCCAGATACGGGCATCTTTGCCTTTGGTCACGCTGCAGACTCGGCTGCAGACTCGGCTGCAGACTCGACCTCGACCCAAGACTCCAGCCAGACGCGCGCCTTTGAGTGGCACGATGACTTCTTTGAGGAAGTCGGGCGCATTCACCGCTTCTCGAGGCTCGCTTCGGAGCACCAAGTTGTGGGCGCTCTTTACGATATCATCGAGTATCTCAGCACGCGCAGCAACCTCTTGATTGCCGTCCACAACGCCAAGCAAGGTGAGCAGGCACGTGTGCGGCTATTTAAAGTCGCTCCGCTGATGATCGCCTCACTACAGCTTTGCCCTTTCTACGCCAGGTCGGACTTGACGTGGATCATTGGGGCTCGCCATACGATGAGGATCTCTTGGTCTCATCCGTACCATTGCTCGTCGACGTCCAGGGATTTGGACTGGGCATGCTGCGGGAGTCTTATTTGAAACAAGCAAGTTCCAAAGAGCGATACAGCTCTGCTGTGATCGATGCCCAGTCTCGGGAGTTGCCATTGGAAATCCTAACGAGCGTTTTGCGAAAGCCTAGTCGATACACAGAGTGGCACAACTCAGGCAATCGGGCACGACGCATCGCCGAATGCGTCGTCAACTTCTTGTTTAGTCACATCTTTCCCGTGCGAGCTGAGGTGGCAGCTCCACTGTGGGACCAGGCGACCCTCGATTTTGCAAAAGCTGGTGGAGACCTCGCACTCATGGGCTTGGGGGTGGACGAGACTGGGGCGTTGCGGGCGAAGGGGAGCCCGTCAGGAGCAGATCAGGACGTTCGCGAGGAGACCAATCTCCCGTCGACCAGCGACGTCGTTCGCTCCAGCCAAGAGATTGTCGAAGACGAGATCCCGCTTGTGGATCAGCTCGATTCGCTGACGTCGCAGGAAGCGCACGAAAGCGGTATCCAGTCACTTTCGGTACTCTCGCCCATCGACTATATCCTTGCCCGTCCCGACCCGGCATCCTCTGATACCCCTGCGTCGCACGCTAAGGACAAGGCAGAGCAGTCTCTTGCACTCGTATGGAAGCGGCACGATGCCCACTTTCACCTGCGATTTGTCCACTTGCAGGGCGCCATTCACACTTGGCCATCCGTTGTCGCCAGCTTGAAGTTCAAGCAGCGCATTCGAGATGAAGAAGCACTCATCAAGCAGACGTATGCGAAGCGCATCTCAACCGATGTCACGACCTGATGATGGAGAGTTCTGAGGAAGCGTGATCGCTTGCGGTCAACTGCGACCATCTCGAACAGGTCGCGCGGGGCGGAATCGCCTGCGCTCGCCACGCAAGACTGGTGCCCTTGCAATTTGTGCGCGGCGAAGCTTCGAGAACGAGCAATGGCCCGTCAATTGGAAAGGGAGCGAAGCATGAGACAAACCTTGCGCTGATTGTCCTACCTCATTGTTAGTGCGTGCGAGCCATACAGCCCAACCAGTCTTCGAACGAACGCATCGCGCTGACAGTAGTACCATTTTGCGCTGTGTCTGGCGTGTTGAGCATGCACCAACAACCGCAAGGGCGCAATTTTTTATCTGTGAGAACTAGGCCCTTTTGCCCTTGTGCAAGGCAGCTTCCGAAACGGAGAAATCTAGACACTATATATATCGGCGGAGACTTTTACGGCGCAAACGCGCGTCTGCCCCGCCAAAAAACGCGTCTGGAAGTCTGCGGACGTCATTTTTGAAGATTTTACGCCGTAAACTGGCGCAGACAGACGCGCGCCATACGTGCCATACGCTCCCATACGCGCGCCAGGTGCGCTGCCCATGCATTGCGCTGAAGGCTCTGACTGTGAGATCAAATTTGATTCCACAGCAATATGGTGCCATACGCGCCCCATGTGCAGCTGCTGTACAGCAGAGAGAGTCATGTGAATTACGCTCCGTCACCTTGCGCGCTCTCTCTCTGCTGGCTGTGAGATGACATTTGATCTCACACCCTAGCACATGCACACACGCACACCACACACAGGTTCTGACTGTGCATGGGTTTTGGGTGTGAGATCAAATTTGATCCCACATGCATGCACAACATGCATGCACGCACCAATTCTGGCTGTGAGATCGAAATTGATCCCACACCCAAGCACAGGTTTTGGCTGTGAGACCAAATCTGATCCCACACCCAAGCGCGCAAATGCATGCGTACACGCCCCATACTACCATACATGCCATACTGGCGCGCTCCCATACATGCGCCATGGGCGTGCACGCACGCATGGGTTTTGGCTGTGAGATCAAATCTGATCCCACATGCACGCAAGCATGTCGAGCACACCAGGAATCCATGGACTTCCACTTTTACGCGGTAAAAGCGCGCAGACAAAACACACACATATGCGCCATGCAGTGCCATACAGGCACCTCCTCTATGCAGATATGCCTGCCTTACATACCTGTGTATCATGCAGGCATGCACATCACATATGCACCATACAAATGCACTCTCCTTGCCTGACTGTTCTGTCCCTGGGGAACCAACAAGAGGGTCCTTGCTGCCATCAATGGACAATTCAAAGAGATTGAGTGTGTGTGAATGAGAGCATGTGACAGCCAGGCAGCAGTGACCCAGGAAGTACTTTGTGCAAGTCAGTGTGAAAGCTTGACAGTCAAGGAGTGGGAAGATCCAAGCAAACAATGCCCAATTCAAAGGATGTCAGCGTGGGTTAATGAGAGAGCAGAACATGCAAACAAAGCAGCTGTGCTTGGAAAGGATGAAGGGAGACCAATCATGTTTGTGCATGTTGAAGAAGGTCTGAGCAAGGATCACGCAGGCAGGTAGCAGCCAGGGGAAAGAGTTGATGTGAGAGCATTGCAATCAGTTGATCAGAAGGGGACAGAACAGTGCAGAAACGGGAGGTCAGTGTG